TTTTAAAAAAACTTTTCGTCCACATTTAAGCTCATCCTACCGAACGATTTTAAAAAATCAAAAACTGTTCGAAAGATATTAGTTGGGAATGATACTGATTAATTTTAGGTGAAAATCTACCGAGCCGTTTTCTTGTAATTAACTGTTGAAAAAAAGTGTTAAATTTTCGTCGACATTTAAGCTCATCCTACCGAACCGATTTTGAAAAATCAAAAACTGTTCGAAAGATATTAGTTGGGAATGATACTGATTAATTTTAGGTGAAAATCTACCGAGCCGTTTTCTTGTAATTAACTGTTGAAGAAAAGTGTTAAATTTTCGTCGACATTTAAGCTCATCCTACCGAACCGATTTTAAAATATCAAAAAATGTTCGAAAGATATTAGTTGGGAATGGTACTGATTAATTTTAGGTGAAAATCTACCGAGCCGTTTTCTTGTAATTAACTGTTGAAAAAAAGTGTTAAATTTTCGTCGACATTTAAGCTCATCCTACCGAACCGATTTTAAAATATCAAAAACTGTTCGAAAGATATTAGTTGGGAATGGTACTGATTAATTTTAGGTGAAAATCTACCGAGCCGTTTTCTTGTAATTAACTGTTGAAAAAAAGTGTTAAATTTTCGTCGACATTTAAGCTCATCCTACCGAACCGATTTTAAAATATCAAAAACTGTTCGAAAGATATTAGTTGGGAATGGTACTGATTAATTTTAGGTGAAAATCTACCGAGCCGTTTTCTTGTAATTAACTGTTGAAAAAAAGTGTTAAATTTTCGTCGACATTTAAGCTCATCCTACCGAACCGATTTTAAAATATCAAAAACTGTTCGAAAGATATTAGTTGGGAATGATGCTGATTAATTTTAGGTGAAAATCTACCGAGCCGTTTTCTTGTAATTAACTGTTGAAAAAAGTGTTAAATTTTCGTCGACATTTAAGCTCATCCTACCGAACCGATTTTAAAATATCAAAAACTGTTCGAAAGATATTAGTTGGGAATGGTACTGATTAATTTTAGGTGAAAATCTACCGAGCCGTTTTCTTGTAATTAACTGTTGAAAAAAAGTGTTAAATTTTCGTCGACATTTAAGCTCATCCTACCGAACCGATTTTAAAATATCAAAAACTGTTCGAAAGATATTAGTTGGGAATGGTACTGATTAATTTTAGGTGAAAATCTACCGAGCCGTTTTCTTGTAATTAACTGTTGAAAAAAAGTGTTAAATTTTCGTCGACATTTAAGCTCATCCTACCGAACCGATTTTAAAATATCAAAAACTGTTCGAAAGATATTAGTTGGGAATGATGCTGATTAATTTTAGGTGAAAATCTACCGAGCCGTTTTCTTGTAATTAACTGTTGAAAAAAAGTGTTAAATTTTCGTCGACATTTAAGCTCATCCTACCGAACCGATTTTAAAATATCAAAAACTGTTCGAAAGATATTAGTTGGGAATGGTACTGATTAATTTTAGGTGAAAATCTACCGAGCCGTTTTCTTGTAATTAACTGTTGAAAAAAAGTGTTAAATTTTCGTCGACATTTAAGCTCATCCTACCGAACCGATTTTAAAATATCAAAAACTGTTCGAAAGATATTAGTTGGGAATGGTACTGATTAATTTTAGGTGAAAATCTACCGAGCCGTTTTCTTGTAATTAACTGTTGAAAAAAAGTGTTAAATTTTCGTCGACATTTAAGCTCATCCTACCGAACCGATTTTAAAATATCAAAAACTGTTCGAAAGATATTAGTTGGGAATGATGCTGATTAATTTTAGGTGAAAATCTACCGAGCCGTTTTCTTGTAATTAACTGTTGAAAAAAAGTGTTAAATTTTCGTCGACATTTAAGCTCATCCTACCGAACCGATTTTAAAATATCAAAAACTGTTCGAAAGATATTAGTTGGGAATGGTACTGATTAATTTTAGGTGAAAATCTACCGAGCCGTTTTCTTGTAATTAACTGTTGAAAAAAAGTGTTAAATTTTCGTCGACATTTAAGCTCATCCTACCGAACCGATTTTAAAATATCAAAAACTGTTCGAAAGATATTAGTTGGGAATGGTACTGATTAATTTTAGGTGAAAATCTACCGAGCCGTTTTCTTGTAATTAACTGTTGAAAAAAAGTGTTAAATTTTCGTCGACATTTAAGCTCATCCTACCGAACCGATTTTAAAATATCAAAAACTGTTCGAAAGATATTAGTTGGGAATGGTACTGATTAATTTTAGGTGAAAATCTACCGAGCCGTTTTCTTGTAATTAACTGTTGAAAAAAAAAATTTAAGCCGATTTTCATGGAAATTTTTTTGGCGATATACATCATGGTCTTATAGAACTTACTGTAATATTACGGCCTAACGACAAGTAGTTTAATTTTAAAAATTCGTCAAAATTTGCCAAAATTATTATCGTTTGTTTTAAAAGTAGGATTAATGAAGTATATTATTTACACATTTTTTTTTGATTAAGTCGATTATTTACACATTTCGGGAAGTTCATGTAACTTGCCTCAAGGCTAAATACCAAACCAACTAGTTAATTTAAATTTTTAGAGGAATATGATGTTGCTCGTCAGTAGAGTTCTTTCGTTATTTTAAGTCCATTAGTAAAACTTGAAAATGTGCTCTAATCGGATCAGAGACCTGAACTCTAAGGAAGGAAACACTTAATTTTTTTTATGAAGTAAATTAAATTAGTTTGTCAGTTTTATTTTTAATCTAAAATCGGTGATTACTCGTCAGTAGAGTTGTTCTTTCGTAAAACGAAGACATTAACTAAACGATGCATTTTTATACAAATATAATTTGCTCAATAGAGTTCTTTCTTGTTTTAATTATAAATTCAATTTGCTCGTCGGTAGAGTCCTTTTTTTTATTCAAGTCTTGATTCAGTTTGTTTGTTCAATTTCTTTTTTACATCAGATCCTGAGTTTAATTTGCTCGTTAGTAGAGTTCGTTTTTTTATAAAACAATGTAAAATATAATATTTTAGCTGTTCGTTTATATATGGGAGGTTTTATACAGTTATTTTTTCAGGACAAAATTTTGTTCCAGACTTCTAAATTTTATTCAAATCATATGAAAGTAGATAAAATTATCTACATTCCTATGTATTTTAGGGTTTTCAAAGAATTAATAACGACTTCTGCAAATTTTCTTTAAATAAAAATATATTTTTGTATTAATTTTATAAAGTTCTAATAAATTTTTTTTATCTAAATGTGAAGTAATGTAGATTATTTTATTCATTTTTAGATTTTTTAAACAAAATTCGCAAGTTTTAAACAAAATTTTTAGTGACAACCCTAGATATGAAAATTTGCAACTATTTTTCTAAATAATACAGATATGACTTATTTTAGATGCAAATATTTGGATAACTTTGTATGAACAGAAATTTATTTATTTATTTATTTATTTATTTATCATATAGCCCACAGAGTAGCTCCAGGAGGACTTAAAAATACAATTTTAATATACATATTATAAAAATACAAATATACTAATATATGATATAACAACACATAACACATAACATAATATAATTAACAATACATAACACAAAATAAAAAAACTGTCAAATTCTTAACGGTAAAACTAAATTATATATTATGGAAAAACATATTCGTGACAAAATATCAAGATTAACTTGTACAGATGGTAATTAATTGTTTTACTGAAGTATTGTGAATATCGATATCTTTATTAATTGAGTTGAAATTAGAGGACATTAGCACTATAGGTGAGTTTAATAAAGCATTAGTCTTAGGAGTAGGATATTTGAAAAACATTTGAGTTCGGGATGAGAGTCTAGGAACGTTAAAGGATAGTTGGTCTAGAATTTGAGGACAATCTATGGCATTATTACATAGTTTATATAGGAACAAAATACTATCAGTGAAACGACGTGTTGCAAGAGATGATACGCAGAATGTATTAAGTAAAATATTGTGGTCGAAACCACGTTCAGGATAAATTTTGTGCGTTTTAAAGTATAGATATTTTAGAAATTTTCTTTGAACTTTCTCTATCGCATCTGAATTATTGCTATGGTTAGGATACCAAATGATCGATCCATACTCCAGCTTTGAACGTACAATTGCATAGTATATGCTAATTAGTGACAGATTAGATTCAAATTTTTTGCAGTTTCTTAATATTAATCCTAATGATTTTTGCGCCTTGCTACATATATTAGATATGTGATCTGTAAAAGTCAAACTAGAATCAAATACAATGCCTAAGTCAGATATTTTATCACACCTTTCTATGCAGGTGTCAGAAATTTTATAATTAAAATGCGTCGGAACGCGCTTGTTTGTAAAACTAATAATTTTGCATTTGGATATATTCAGATCCAGTTTATTTTGAACACACCAGGAGTGAAATGAATTTAGTTGAGACTGCATCACTAGGCAGTCATCTATTGAGTTTATTTTAAGATATAGCTTGAGGTCATCTGCAAACAATAGGTGAGGACAATTAATTACTTCCGATATATCGTTGATAAAAATATTAAATAAAAGAGGACCAAGGGTGGACCCCTGGGGCACACCCGAGCTGACAGTTTCCAAGTTACTCAAAAATCCATTAAGAAAAACGAATTGTTTACGATTATGAAGATAGCTTTTAAAGAAATAAGTAAGTGAAGTATTAAAACCAATTTTAGATAATTTAGTAAGAAGTATATTGTGATCTATTTTGTCAAAAGCTTTACTAAAATCAGTGTAAATTACATCAACTTGTCCGTTAGTGTCAAGATTTTCAGCAAGAAATTGTTTAATGCATATTAGATTAGTAGTTGTGGAACGAGCAGGCATAAAACCATGCTGATTATTAGAAATTAAATATTTTATCGATGGAATTAGTTTATTAAATACATTTTTTTCAAAAACTTTAGCAAAATTAGATAATAAATATATGGGTCTATAATTAGTAATATTAGATGAGTCGCCATGTTTAAAAATTGGTACTATACGCGCGATCTTCCAACAGTTCGGAAAAGTGTTTGAACTCAACGACAGATTAAATAAAAATGCAAGTGGATCACAAAGAACAGTTGAACAATCACGTACAAGAAATGATGGAATACCGTCAAATCCAAATGTTTTAGAATTTTTCAAACTTGCTATTGCAACTTGCACACAACTAGAATCAATCTTCTCAATATCAACCATTACTCTATTGTTATGATCAAACGAAATAGGCATATCTAGCTTGGGTTGATTAACACTAGTAAAGTATGAATTAAATGCATCAACTATAGCATCAGGTGAATCATAGTATTTGTCCAAGTAGCAAACTCTATTAGGAACTATGTTAGAGGCAGTCTTACTGCGTAAGAATGACCAGAAGTATTTTGGATTATGCGATAGAGAACGTTCAACATCTGTTATATATAAGTTATAAGCGTCTTTCATGAGTGATTTTGTTAATTTCCTATATAATTTAAAATTTTCGTAATATAAAGTGTTATTAGTTAATTTATATTTTTTGTGATAGTATTTTTTCATACGCAAGTTTTTAATAATGTTGGAATTAAACCAAGGTTTAAATTTATTGGATGGAGAGTTCTTGGTTTTAGGTACAAATCTATCGAATATACTATAAATAGTGTCATAAAAAAGATCGCACGCATCATTTACGTCGGAACAGGTATACAGAGAACTCCACGATGTGTTTAAAATTTCCATGTAAAGATTAGGAAAATCCGCTTTATAAAAATTGTAATGAGAGGTATTATTATTAAGTTGTAATGCATTGGCCTTAGGTAAAAAGGATGTTGTAAGGGAAAGAGAAATATGAAGAGCGGGATGATAATTATCTTCAGGTAACAGAGGTTCGGTATCATGGTGTGGGAGTCGTAATGATTATGACAATATATTAAATTAGAAACTCCCAACAATAAAAAAATATAAATTTATTAACTATAAAAATATTTCGATATCAAAAATATACATCACATGTCCCATTGTTTTTTACAAATCCAAACCAGCCTGCTTTTCACAGTTTAAAAAGAAAATACAGGGAAACACGTTATAAAAATGTGGTGGGAAAGCAGATTATAGCAGACCAGTGTTGTAATACTGGTCAATTACAAATTTCCATGTTTCGTCAGCAGATCCACCGTATGTGGTGATTCGACCTGCCATCAACTCCATATTTTGCATAAGGTTCTGACTAAAAAAAAACTTGTGGAAAATTTCCTATACCTCGATGTCGGTGAACTTCTAAGATTCAGCCTCGATCAAATTGGTATTAGTTATATCAGAATTATTTAATGTTTAGAATGCATAATTTATGGGTACAGTTTCCATTTCTGCAAGCGTTGCATTCGTATCTGATGAGTTCCGATCAGAGAAAGAAGTTGTCTCTTTATCCAAATCAGGATCATTGGTTTCTTTGACATAAGAGTCCAGAATTGTGGAATCCAATAAATTATGTCAAATTTTGTTTTGACTCGTCGTTGTCACCGATAATGGGAGGTAGCATTATAAGACGATTTGTTGAGTTAACAGAGAAAGAGAGGTTAAATTGCATTCCAATGAAAAGTTCAGGCTCCAAATTATTTTTACTGTCAGCAATAGACACTGAGGTCTGGGTATACCAAATGAGTAACCTCGGAAGTCTGATCCAGATAGTAAGTGCGTTAACTATGATGGATTGGACTGGACGTACCTTATAGGTCGTCTCTGAAGACCAGTGACTATGGTGCTGCGTCAAATTCTTAAATCCTCGAAAAAAAAAACTCCTTTATCTTCATCTCCATCGTCGTGAGTCACCAATGTGGGAGTTGTAATTAATATTAAAGTATAAACTCCCGACATATAAAAAAATATAACAAATTTATTGACTATAAAAATATTTCGATATCAAAAATATACATGACATGTCCCATTGTTTTTTTTTCAAATCAAAACCAACCTGCTTGATATCCCCACAGTACGATAGTACAATCATATATAGATTTGTTCCTGAAATAAAATAGTGGCTTCTTCAGTCATATATCGATTTGTCCCTGAAATAAAATAATAGCTTCTACAAAAATATGACTTGTCCTGAAACAAGTTGCTTAAATGTTGAGATATGTTTCGACAATAAGAATAGAGATTTAGTAAATATCAAATCAATATTCCACACTTAATTTTTTTTTATTTATATAGGCCACTTTTTGTGTGCCTATACTAATTTGGGATTTTTCTTGAGTTCAGGACTGTTCTTATTTAAATCAGGCGTATTTTATCGCAAAACTAAAGTGACTGAACTATGTAAACTTTTTTGAGTAAACGACGACAAACGAACGTCAAGATTTGGGTCAAGAGTTCTTTTTGCAATCAAGTTTTATAGACTGACTTATTATATTTTATTCTGCAAGATTTTGAAGCTGAAACAGATTTTTCAAAATAGTGGCATTTCTAATCGTAGTGGTATTGAGGTTAATACAAATATGGACCCTGACCGCTTTCCAAACTTTCTTGTTTTTGTTTAAGAAATTGGAAAATATACACATATTCCAACATTTGTAACTGTTATGGAAAGAATATGTAGAAAAAGCTAAAAATACTAAGAAGTATGTCGCAACATCGAAATATGCATTTTAGGCTTTTTAGGTTTCTGCCAACATCTGATAATGAACTTTAAGATGTTCTACTGGTATTGTCAAATTTAGATCAAAACCTTCTCAGTTGAGTTAAATGCAACTGCAAAGCACGTAAACTGTTCTGATTTATAGAAGGTAAAAATATCAGTAAAATATCTTATAGTTCATCCTCATAAATGCTCAGAATTCTCAAAAGCCAAAAATGTATATCTTGTTGCAACATATTTTTATATGTATTTTTTAATTCTTTTTACATATTCTATAATAATTTCAACTGTTGAAATATGTACATATTTCCCAATTCTTAACAAAAATCGTTAAATTAAGTTAAAAAGTTCCTAATTAGGTTCTATTGCCATATATTTTACTGAAAAGATATTTGAGTTCAATGCGTCTTTTATCAAGTTACTTGACCAATAATTTTAAATCTATTTTTTATTTCATTATCCAGCTATAATACTAATATTTTATCAGGCGCTATATCTAGACTTCATTGTCTTCGTTTTTACAGGTTTTAAGTTATTTCTGGGATGAATGGAATTTCATTTCTTCCAGGAATGCTTTAATAAAATATAATTAGAACGCGAACGGAACCATCATCGATCACGCCTGATATCGTTAATGATTTTCGATCCCGTTCGTCGTCTCATTTGAAGCGACGGAAAGCTCCACCGCGTGGTAGAAAGAGAGCTTATAGAGCTTTTTGAATGTGACTATAAAAATAGTATTATTTTCCATTTATAAGTATTAGTAAGGACTCATTAATTAGAAGAGCTCGAGCATTCGTTCGTTCGAAAAATATTCGGTCGAAAATGTGGCAAAAATTGGCCGGGCCTTTACTTCATAATAGCCCAATTTTTTTAGACAATTTTAATGAAACATTGTCGAATGCAACTTGAGGTTCAAGCAACTTGCCGTAAGTCAAAATGCTACTTACACCTAGTTAATTATTTTTAATCATTATATTAAAAGGTATGTTGATTTAATAATCTTCTCTAATTAATGGTGAACAAACCTACTTCAGTTTAATAAATTCTATTTTTATGTATTATAAAAATATATTTTACCTCTCGTTTAATTAGTTAACGTTCACGGACAGTAATAGTTTCAGCAAGGTAAAAAACAGACAGGCATTTTATTTTTAAATTGGTTGTGATATCCGAAATTTGATTGAACATTGTTTATAAGGGCAGTCAGATTATCATATTTTAATTGTTATAAACGACGAATGCTATATCATCATTATCAAGTATTACACTTCTATTTTGCGCCAATGGTTGCCAAAGATAATTAGTGACTACGGGAAAGGATAAGATAATATAAAAATACCCAAAAAATCAGTCAGTTGTTGACTTGACAAGTATAATAATTACAAAAACGTGAAGTTATATAGAATTCAATTTAAAATAATTGAAATTAATTGTGAATGCTAGCATCTACAACATTCAGCATAACAATAAAAATGAATGCCATAGCATTCATGTCTGCTAACGCGTTTGCGTGACTGTAAAAAGACTTTTTTGTACTCATTGCACTCAGCCTTAATTTTTTGAAAATTATCTCTAAAAAATATAAATCAAATTTCTTTCTTTGAATTTTTTTTTTCCTGGAGGGTTTTAGCTCTCTCGTTACACGTGGTAAGGAGAACAATATTGATGGCCAGGAAGAAGGAAATCAAGCCGGCTCTTCTAATTATTCGCGAATCCTTGCGTTTGCTTAATTGCTGAAATTACAGGGATACCGCGCGGCGCGACGGTTCATTAATAGCGCCGTTCAACCGGCAATTTATGACATTTGTCTCTACGTACGAATTGTTTGAATTTGATAAATTCACCCAAAGTACTCCAAGTGCATCTAAAATTTGTCATTCGTCATTTAATTGAATTTGATGAGATTTATTACAGAGCAATGATTGAGTTGTTTTTTGAAGTGCAACGCGTAGGAGTCAAGGAGGACAGCGCTGCTGTCTTACTAATTACTGATTTATTGAAGCCATCTTTATTGACTAAAATTATAAAAACGCTAATACCACAATGAAATAAGAGATTATTATCAATAATATTAAAAGAACAATAAGTCTTATGGACTTAAGGCAAATTGCTGGAACTTCCCGTACCGTAACGAAATGTTCGAGGAATATTAAATGTTTTCAAATATATTATTATAAGTAAATACTGTAACATTGTCTAATATTTATAAGAATTATATAAACTTAATTACATAATTAAAAATAATTGTTTAAAGTATATTAGAACTTAAGTCAGAATTACAATTAAAATCTGAATTATTGTCGATATAGAAAAAAAATGTAAAAAAAATGAGACGAAAGTATTTTTCCAAAAGCAAATATTTTGTTAAAACAAGCAGAAAGTTTTTTGAATCATTCGAATCGGACGCTTAGCTCTATCAATAACTGTCATTTTTTGCACATTTAGCTCTGTATCTCTGAAACCGCAGTACCTGCCTTTGCTAAAAACTAATCACTACTTCTCCCCATCATTACGAATTCAATGTTCTTTGGATCATTCAAATCCGATGCTTCGATCTCTCAAAAGCTCGATTTCTATTTTCTGCAATCTTTGCTCCGTATCTC